GGCCGACCGGGCCTCCCTACCCTCGGAGGTGTATTTTTTCCCCTCCCCAAGTACCACTAAAAAGGAAAAAGAAAAGCAACAAGTGAAGAAAACGTCACTCCTTTCAGTGACATCAGACGAGGTCCTGGGCTTGGGACCGAAACGACGCGGCCGCTAGCCCTGCTGACACCGCACGCGCGCGCCCCAGCTGCACTTACCGGGAACCCAGGAAAACCTCTTGTCCCAGGCTGCCCCTGGGGAGAGGGAGACAGAGACAGCAGGTTAGAGGGACTGCAGGGGGTTGTGGCGGACCCCACGTTCTCTCCAAAGCCTCTCCTCCAGCCTCCTCCTGCGGCTCCCCGGAGAGCTGCCGCCCCGCTCCCACCCGCGCCGGCCAGGAGGCTGCTGGAGCGGCTCCAGCGCGGGCGGTTCGCTCGAGGCTCTGCGTTAATCGAACGGGTGTCCCTAGCCCGTCGGCTGGGCTTTTGGAGGATATTCCGGCGCCCGAGCTCATTTCACGGCAATTCTTGCTGCCGCACACCGGAGGTGATTAATGCCAGGCGCTGCTCCGTGCAAGACGCGAACCTTGCAGGTCCCGGGCGTCTAAGTACAGCCACCCCCTCTTCTCCCCTCCTAATCTCATGTCCCAGCGCGTTCATTTTCCTCCCTAATAAAATTCTGCAGAAGACGTGATTTTTTTTTTTTTTGGTCTTTTTTCCTCCTAAGAGCTGCAAGAAAAAGGAGAGCTAGGTGGAGCGATGAGAGGCCCACGAACACAAAGTCCTTCCCCCCAGCCTCCCTCTCGCTGGCCAGGTTGGCTCTCCGTTTGGGACCGGGTAAAGCAGGCGCGCTGGCTCAGGATGCGCTTGGCAGCTTATTCATCCACCCCTTAGAAACTCCGGAAGACAAGCGTCCTAGCTGTTGGCTTTTCAGTTCGCCACATCCCAGGTCACAGATACCCTCAACGTCCTCACTACTTGAGGGTTTTTTTTTTTTTTTAAGTCCCAATTTCACAAAAAATACGTGAGCCAAGTCAGGAAACAACGTGGACCAGGTTTCGGCAGCTCTGGAAGCGAACGTGTGCAGTGGAAACAGCAGGATGAGGCGAATCCTGGGCCGTGCTCAGCGAGCACTGCAGCACCTTGCCTTCCCCAGAAGCCGTGCCGAGATGCCGAGAAGCCCAGCTCTTCCTTGTACGCTCTCAGGCTCCCCTGTGCTTTGTTTTGGGGAGCAAAGCGCCTGCCGAGGTACTTCAACATATCGTGACTGTGTTTTCACACCTTTACATTTATACGCAGTGCTAGTGGGACCTAATCACGTTTGCACCGGGGGGTTTTTTTCGGTTTGAGGATTTTTTTTTTTTAAGTTTTGCTGAGTTGAACTCGGTCAGCTTTGCTTTGCAACATGCATACAAAACCACCTGGTCCTGCTGGCCCGTGACCAGCAGGGAAGATAGGCTATAAATCGAAGGATCTGTCCACGGCCGGTTTCCAAAAAGGCGAGAATCGAGAAGATCCTCGCCGCAGTTCATTACTTTTGGGTCCCTCTTGGACGCCTCCCCGGACAAGCAGCGCTAAAAAAAGAATTAAGGAGAAAACCTGGAAACGGCGCAGTTTGGCTTCCTCCGTAGACGACAGACTGCTGCCTTACTCTCCTCGGAGGACGGCAGAGCGATTTGCACGGTATCAGGCCAGAACAACAGTTCAGCAGCGAACCTTTCCAAGAGACTGTTTTTGTTGGGTGGCTGCTTTTCCTCATCTTCTTTTTAAAATGTTGATCGCATGAAGTATGCAACCCCGGGAGCTGCCAAATCGTGGAGACCGTCTGTTTCTGCCACTATCGGTGCGCTGTCCCTCGCTGGCCAGAAGTTAAGCAGCTCTGAGAGCGCAAACTTAACCTCGGCATGGAAATCTGGAAACTATTTGTCATCCCACGCCTTTCCGAGTGGCCCCTAAGCCAGGGTTCCCGTGTTCATCTCTGGTGCTCAGCAATCCTCGTGGCCCATCACCAGCCCCTCGGGAAACGGGACCGTCTTCACGGGAGACGTCGGGGGCGGGAGCTGTGCCGGGGCTTCGGCCGCGGTGGGCAAAAACCCGTTTTACATGCCTTTTGCCGGCTCGGGTTTCCACCGTTTCACGTAGAGAGGAGATAGCGTGCTTTCCCGCACAGCGGCGGAGCCAAGGAGGCAAAGGAGCAGTCCCGAAGC